GAGCCAAGGGTCTTCCGGGGGTTCTTCGGCAATGAACGACAAGGTTGTGGCGCTGACGAGCTGGGAGAATCGATCATGACGTGTGATGGTTCAACAAGTTTCATAGTTTTCATTCCGATATTCCCTACAGCAGACGAAGTTGCAACTGATGACTGCATGATCACTGCGACCCAACTGGCAGTCTACAACCAACACTCAGTCATATGCTCCTCGTTGGTAAGCACAATATCCAGCACCGATTGCCTGTTACCTGTTCTGAACCGAGTGGAAAAAGTGACGTGATTGTAAAGCGGAACAGTGGTTAGGAGGTCCTGCAGATCGGCTTTGAAATATTCTCTTATCGTGGCACGGGTTCTAAATAATGTACGTTAAAATCACCCACGATAAGGATGCGTGTGTATCTTCACTTCAGGGTGCATTTTAAAGCTGCCGCAAGGTGACACTCCCTTTCGGATGTACATCTAGAGGGCAGTAAATCAAGGCAATGAAGCGAATGTCTCTGCCTTTTAACTGCAAGTGGCATCAAAGAGAATCGGATAACTGAGAGTCTGAATCTCCAATACCACCGCACTGTAGGCTACTTTGGTAATATAGAATTACCCCTCCTCCTTTTGTAAGTCCATCGTTCCGAATGAGCGACATGGCCGGTAGCGAAACTTCAGCGTTCATCATTTCAGTGCGTCAGCATGTCTCCGTGAACACGATGATGTTGCGTGGCTTAGAAACTTGGTGATCTGTCATTTCAATCAGCTTATTCAAAAAACCTTGAGCATTCGTATACAAGCAGGCTAATTTCGCTTTCTCTAGGGGCTAAAAGTGGGTTTAAGGGGTCATCATCACCATCATGATACACGTTAGCTAGAGATAGGAAACACCTCAGCTACTGTGCCGCAATACATAAAAGAAAAAAGGGGAAAATGCAACAGGAGCAAGCCAGCTGAGTTACCAGTAACCGATGGGCATCATTCCGGTAAGATACCGGACGGCTACTATGCAGCAAAAAAAATAGTTTGCTATGCGAAAGTATATAAGGCTAAATAGCGAGATCGTGATTAGAGGGGGAGGCTAAGAGGGGTAGGGTGGGACAAAGAAACTCACAGCGCAAACGCCACTGAGATCGCCTCCTAGCCATATCAGCAAGTGTGTCCAGCCAAACGTGTTCATCGTCTTTCGGACCCCAACCAGGGAGCCGAGACGCTCCAACCGAGGCCAGCTTCGAAGTGAGGGCCTGCATTCCTCTCGACCAAGTCATCGCTTTGCTACCCCTCCTATTCCATCCACACCCCCCGGCGCGCAAACAGCGCACGTAGCGGGAGTCGGTGGGCTGGCATGCGCAACACGTGGCCCAGCCATCGGAGCCTGATGCGTGAAATAACGGTGCTGAGCGGTTCATTTGCTTTTCCTATGCCGTAAACAAGGCGTCGAACACGCTCGTTGCTTACTCGGTGTTCCCACCAGATGTGTGCTAAATTACGAAGGCACCGGTGATCAAAGGTAAGTAGCGTCTTTATGTCCGCTGATCTAAGAGGCCAGGTTTCACAACCGTACAGTAGAGTAGAACGTAACGCTGCATTGTACACTCTACCCATCAGGGCGAGAGTGATGTCGCGCCGGCGCCATACGTGACGAAGGTTAGCAAAAGCGCATCGAGCTTTTGCTATGCGGTTCGTAATCTCATCTTCAATCCCACGGGCGGTGATACAACTTCCCAGGTAGTTGAATTTTTGAACGACTTTTAGTTGATCCCCACCAAGGGTCAGCGAAGGAGGCGGTTCAGGCCAATCTTGGAGGAACGCTTTGCACTTCGAGGGTGCGAAGCAAAGCCCGAAGTGATGGACAGCTAGTGCTAATCTGTCCAGTGCCGCTTGGCACGTTTGTGAACTGTCACAAATATGGGCAATATCATCAGCATACTCCAAGTCAAGTCGTTCTCTTAAGAGCGGATCCACACCTTCTAAGTCGTGTTCTGTGGACGCGATTTCCATGAATTCGTCAATAGCGAAGTCGAAGAGCAAATGTGACAGCGAGCATCCTTGTCTCACACCGCTGGAGATATTCAAGGGCGAAGACAGCTTGCCGTAAGCTCTCACTCTGCCTGAGCTACGCGCGTATAATGCTCAGATAATATGTACGTATTTCTCAGGTACACCTTTCCTGAGTAGACAGTCCCAAAGTGCATGTCTATCCACCGAATCGAATGCACCTTTGATATCGAGGAACAAGGCAACGGTGGGCCGCCAATATATGTGACGGTGCTCCAACAACTGACACAAAGTCAAGATGTCGACGAAAATCGGCTTGCTATTCCCGAATATGACTTTCACGAGCGCCAGTCAGTCTGTGAAGAATGACAGAGGCAAGTAATCTGGAGGCGATAGAGATCAGACTGATTCCTCTATGGCTGCCGCATCCCGATCGTGAGCCTCCCTTGAAAATTTGGACTAAGACGGAGCGGCTCCAGTCAGTTAGGACAGTTTCCTGCTCCCACAGTTTCATTAGTGACTCGTATAAATCATCCAAAAGAGCAGGGGCACCGAATTTGAAGAGGGCTGGAGGTAGATCATCTGGTTCCGCGGCTTTGTTTAACTTCAACAGTACGATCTCACGTTCGACTTCTGAGCAAGAGCATGGATCCAAAGTGACAACCCGCAGCTGGACGATCGGTGGCCGGCGAGAAATCGAACAATTTCGACCGATGAAATTGCCTTTCAAAATGCTCAGTCCAACGCTCCAAACGTTTTGACAAGTTGTGGATAGGCTGTCAAATCTCGTTATAAATCGTTTCATTAACACCAAGTCTCCTGCTGCCCGTTTCCCATATCAACCAGAATAACCAAGGGCAGCGGCCATTTCCATCTCTAATGCACGATGAGACCACCAGGATTCGCGGTATCTCTTCAGGCTAGCACGGAGTTTTGCCCGGAGCACTTTGCGAGTTTCATTGTGTTCGCTTCCAGCCGGGATATGCCGCCGAGCATCGATAAGTCCCAGAGACTGCGAAGAGACCCAATGTCCATGTTCGCGATTAGACTTACCACATGAGGATTTTCCTGCTGCTAGTAAGGTCTGGTGAATATCAGACCAGGGAGTTTCAGTTGCATCCAGTGAGCGCTTACTCAACTCTCATGACCGCGCACGTTGATAGGCATTCAGAATAGATGGTTTCGCCACTTGGCTGGTGTCAATGCGCCCACAACGTCGTCGTGGGCGTCCGCCAAAACGCATCCGCAGGTCAGCAAATACAATTGCATAGTCGGTGTCCACACCTGTGCTCCAAATCAAGCAACAGTTCTGGACGCAGCTTCTCCATCGGTAACTTACTGCAATGTGATCGATTTGCGTCCATAGCTGGTTCGAGGCTGGTGGGCGCCAAGTCACACTGCGGCGGGTACTGTGTCGGAAATTAGTGCTCGCAAGAAATAAGCGAGCATCTTCACACAAATGAAGTAACCGCTCACCGTTATCATTACGGGAGCCTACACCATGTTGGCCGCCCAGATGCAGTTCATCAGTGGGTAATTTTCCAACTTGAGCGTTCAGATCCCCAGCCAGCACTACAGTGTCCTAGTTTCTTCTGTGGTGAAGGAGCTCGTTCAGTTGACGATAGAAGTCATCTTTTACCGAATCATCGCTAGAGTTTGTGGGTGCACAGGCAGCGATGACGAATAGATACCTGTTATCCCCTTGCGGCTTTGAAGCTTTGAACGAGCCAGGCAATCTAACCGCACACAACGGGCTACTGATTGCAATTCAATCAACCAGAGCAACTTCAGCACGGGGGCTCAGGACAATACGAACACCGGCTTGGCTGGTGCTCCGAGCTGAATCGTCACCGGATAGACGCAATGAGAAAGTGCTGCTGGTGTCACCTGAAGGGGATCGCAAAGTGAGCACTGAACTCGAGTCTTGCACGCGGGTCTCCGATAAGCAGCAGATATCCATCGCGAGGGTTTCTAATGTTCCGGAAAGTGCTGCCCGTTGACCGATCTGTAGCAATGTGCTTACATTGAGGCATGCCAGTCTGAAGGATGATCGAGGGCTCCAAATGGAAGCCGATGAACTGAGCTTGGCCGCTTGTTTGGACATGGGCTTGTGGACAGGGCAGAAATGACGCACCTCGTTCACATATGCGTTGAAACTAAAAGGTAAAAGCCTATCAAAGCAAGTTGGAGGAGGGCCGAGAATCGGGAGGTTGAAAACTGGGGGGATTAAAGTGAAGCTGTAAAGGGACGTTAAGAGAGAAAAAGCCTAAGAAGGGGAATAAGAAGATGGGTAGGCTTGAGCAGTAGCATCCACCCCTTTTCACCCTGCTCGATGCAGCAGATAGGACACCGTTGATTATTTTCTGCGGTGGCCAGAGCATCAGGATATTATTAGAAGGAAAATGCATGGTGTATTGCGTGGGCAGGATACTGTCAGATTGCTCAGGCCTAGGCAAGAGAACGATTAGGGTTCTCAACCAAAGCCTTCGGTTCAAAAACCTGACTGCAATGCAGCGGGTTTGACGTTGGGCTACAAGGATTCTGTTTTAAGGAATAAGGCGCCACCCTTATTCCAACCCCCATCCTGGAGGACCAGGAGGCTTAGTTTGTTTGGCCTCTAACCACTGACCAATCTTGTGCGAGAGGCTCTGCAGGTCCAAAAAGCACCACCCAGCACAGCTCAACGGATCGTTGAAACACACAAAGTATCGCACCACGTTAAAGTCCAGCCTGGTCTTGATGGAAGGTGGCTAGATAAGTTGAGCAAAACAAGATGAGCTACTTGACCAACGCACATGTATGCAATGACCCTGTCTAAAGCAAATCTTTGTTAGCAAAATTTAGTCAAAATATACCTTTATGACTGACGGCCGGTTTCAAATCCTTGGTTACTCGCATGGTTTGATGTCTCCTAAACAATTGTGGAAACTGGACAAATAATGCAATATCCAAGCTTCAAAATCACTCTTAAACGTCACAGAGAAATAAAACTGAAATGCTGTTATCTTGCATTAACAGACTTCAACCCGGATGAGCTTGTGAAACCGGACGAGGAAATGAGCGACACATCTAGGGCCATAATTCAGGCATCTTTACAAGCTCAGAACCTCAATTCCGATTCAACATTTGGTCAACAGTGCCCCAGGACCGAGGAACTAATCAAAACGGCTGCACTGCTCAGCAAAATGTGCGCGAACTCTGGCATGAACCTTGGTACACTGTCGGATGCACTTACCCGGATAGGCAGAGTAGATTTGGTCCCTCTGCTATCAAATGGATCAGTGAATGCCAAAGCGCTGAGAGAGTACGTTGCCTGATTGCAGTTGTATTCCACCAATACGGAGAAGAGAGCAACATCACCTGAAAGCCGCGTTCCTTCGTTCGTTCCCTCACTATTCGCTATTGCATGTTCCTTGCTAGGGACATCAAAATGAGGATAGAGGGGACTGTGAAACGACTGTACAAAAAACCACACACACCCGATCAATGCAAGGTTGTGCACGCAGTAAAATGACGAGTGCTCGGCAATGAGTCACATAGATACACACGTTCCAGCAGTTCAACAAAACCAATGAAAACTTCGTGGTAAATCACCATAAGCAGAACAAACAGTCAGCTGTCATTTTTCTTTTTCATCATCTTCCTACGGTTCACTCCTAGTATCTTTTCGGGAGTTACTTTTCCTTACGTGCCGCAATTGTACATAATATTCAAGTTCTGATATTCGTAAGCACGTACATATTGATGAACGCATGATACAAACCGCTCAACTTCTCTGGAAGTGATCAACACTTGTGGTCTAAAACAGACCGAATTAGGATGCACACTGGATGTCCTCGGATTTTGTGTGGCTTGTGTCCCCCAAAGCAAAATTCACGGTTTATGCGGTTAGTAAACTAACCGTGCCTAAATTCTTTTGGCTTCATTGGTTTGGTTTACACGCTCCCAGATGGTGCAGTCACCACTGGTTACCAAGGGATGGACACCTCTCTCAGTTCCAGGGATGAATCCTTCCTGGTTGATCTGGATATCATAAGTAGGCGCATAACTATGCTCGGTTTAAAGACGCCAAAGTAGATGAATATCATGTTGTACCCGCTAGCAACACTGTGCTGTAAGATAAACTTTGTGTTTGTTTGCATTCGTCAAACAGAGACAGCAGGGCTGTGACTCGAAGTCGGTAAGTTGGGATGCCAGCCGAAGCTTCTACCCATTTGTCACAGAGCTGTGGGCAATGTATGTTACATTAACCATTGTGCTAGGCGTTGTCCGCGTCAATAGGTGCCGCTTTAGGAATGCATCTCGCTTACGTTATTCTGTTATAAGATATTTGGACAGTTTTATGATGCATCCTATCATGGAATGTTCACACGTGAGGTCCTGCAGAGTGGGTGTGTGCACGTAAGAAACTAACCGACCCGAATGACATCTTCTGCCCCGACCTTCATGACGTCGTGCAATAGGTTCGTCACAGTCTACATTCTAATCATATGGTCTCCAACATAGCAGGATACGGTTTCCTTGAAAGATAAGACAGTCAGGTACATGATGTGAACGGAACCAATTTCAAATTCAACCGAAGCCACAAATGAGATTGCGTGTCACAATCCAAGACACACGGTGGGTGCTTCAAAACTCGGCAATCGATTTCTATTCGCTTTGTCAATCTCTGTTCGCGCAGTTCATTGGCCTAGTGATTGTGGCCATAGCCGCCAGCGACTATGTGCCTAGTTCTACTTCCAGATCAGGCTATCTCTATCTGATGAGTTCAAACAAGGACGAAACGCATCGTGGAGTGCAGGGATAGGAGAGAGCAACACCAAAACCAAGTTCAGATACAGTGATCACCAGGGTATTTGCCGGGCGAAAGTGCGGTGTGTCCTGAATCTTTCTATGTAGGTAAATGAATAACAAGTTGTGCAGTGAAGTGTGAAATGGTACTTCGAAGGATGGCATGAGGAGGGGAACAAAATGCGTCAAATCGAAGCAATTAAATGGTCAGTTTGACAACTTGTACGTAGAAGAGGTTCATGTGCTCCACTACTCGTGAATTGGCATAATGTTAAACAAACCAAATATCAAACAGCAAGGTGTGATGTACAGGAAAACGGAAGGCATAAATAGCCATGAATCAAATCGGTCAATTGTCGAAAATGCACAACCGCAACAAGAAGACCCAGTTATGATGGAATGTGAGTAGGATATAAGTGAGATGCATATGTATACAAAGGAGAATTAGTTAGATCCAAAGGTGTGCAGCTTTAGGACGTGTTCAATGGAATACATCGGCTGGTGGCCGAAAGAATTACATGTTTGCATTGTAATCCGAATATCACCGGCGCGAGTCGGTGTGGGTGCGGCGCCCGCGCGGTATACCCAGCCTTCGCGCGACTGACGGTAACCACGTGGCAGCAAAGTGTCGGTATGGTGTGTCAACGTACCGCTGATGTCTGCCTCCACAGAATGCAAGCCCCAGAATAATACAAGTAAGAACCTCGGATGGACTTGGATCTGATTGGTGCCCGCTGGTAAACGCTTCGCTTTTAACACGCGTGTGCATGGCTTAAACAACGGCAGAGACACGCACGCGGAGTATCAAAAAGACGTGTTTCATGACCACGCAGAACAGAACACTGCTAAGAGACTCGGTTGCAGCAATGCGTGCGTTAGATAAAGGACGGGATAGATTTCTAAAATGTTGCGACCAAAGGCAGGAGTTTGTGAGCAACGCAGTGGAGATTGCGTGTCTAGACTAGGGGTGTCCAAACTTTTCACAAGGAGGGCCACATCTTGTGAGGTAAAATGACGTCGGGCCTTATTCATCCTGAGATGTAGACAATAACTAAAATGATATATTTTATAAACTTTTAATTGCATGTTTTTAAGGTGAATGGTGAAATTGAGGTTTTAACTGCAGTAAACTGGTGAGGTCAGGCTCAAACTCACGCATGGTATCATATAGGTGAGGATCACTTGCTCCCATCCTCACACGGTTCTTGTTAAAATGCAAAACTGAAAATGTCTGCCAACACAAGTACGTCAAGACAAAGAAGCTGAGTATTTTCTTAGCAAATGTTCAACTTGCTTGGAATCTTTCTATCCAGATGGCAGAAAATTTGATGAGAGAGAGTGGTTGGCATCGACCGTGACATTCAACATCACTACAACTAAATAACGTCTGATCGCATTTGGGCCGGGGCATTATCAGGGTCCACAGATAAAAGCGAAAAATGTCCGACTTCTTTTTTAATGGCTGTAATGAAAGCGCCGTTGAAACGCATCGGCTAGGGATACGATATCTGCGACACACTTCTGCATTTGTGCACTGGTTTTACTTTCCGGAGGGCTTGTCATGGTTCCCTTTAGTGATGGAAATATGTGGTATTAGGCTGCGTTGGAGGCAGTTGTCTTTGAAAAGGTTGCAGTTTATTATTAAAGGCTTCTATATGAGGATACAATCGGCTTACCACTGCATTTTGACCCTGAAGTATCGTGTTCAGCATCTTCAGGCGTCGTGTGATATCAACCAAAATCAAAAATCAGCCAACCAAGCAGGATCAGACAGTTCTGGCATCGATTGTTCCTTATTTTCCAGGAATTATCTAATTTTTTTCTGCGAGAGTGGATACGATGAAGTGCAGTCACTCGATGAAGCCATCTTAAATCATTACGATACACAACATCCACGTATTCACCATAGATATTGAGTAGAAAATCCTGAAACTGGCAATAAACAGGGCTTTAGAGAAAAGCTAGATAAGAGCTTTTACCACTGGCTTCATAACATGGTGACACCTAAGATATTTGGCACAAATAACTTGTTGGTGAAGGATGCATTGGCGTTTAATGGCTTTTCTCCCTCCTCCATGACTTTTACATATTAGTGTTCCTAATCCACTGTGCACAACAGACACAGCTTTGGCACCGTAAGCAATAATTCCAGAGATTTTTTCAATGGTAGTTCAATGTCATTCATTACAGAAGAACCAGAATCAAATAAATCTATTCCTATTGTTTGGCCCTTAATACTCTGAAAGTCAAGTACTTCTTCACTCACGCTCATGTTATGGTTAACCTCTTCCAACAAAATGTGAAACTGGGTAGTGTTAGATGCATCAGTGTTTTCATCATATGCTATGCAAATAAAGTCAAATTTTGCTTCTCTTTCTTCTTCTTATCTCTTAATTTCAAGAGATCTCTTCATATCTGCAAACCACAGAGTTTCGTGCCGAGCGAACATAGGCAAACCCTTGATTTTTCTCAGGACAGCTAATTTCTACAATTTTATCATACATTCCTTATCAAATTCTCATATTCATTAAATGGTTTGTCGTGTTTCGCTACTCGTTTACCACCTTATAACTTGCCTTTGTTGCACATTCATTCGATTGACCGATTCTCGCAAACATGTTTTGACGTGAGGTTATTTCAGCTTTCAGTTGCTTTCCTTTCTCAACTTGCTCACTTTTACTCACCTTTTCATAGTGAGCGTGCTTCCTTTGGCAGTGCTTCTTGATATTTGAATTCCTTGAAAACAATCACACTCAGCAACCAAATAGAGCACACGCACTTGTTCAGTAGTTCAGTGAAAAATACCCCAGTTTCCACTTTTCCTGGAAGCGGCGCCATTCGTTATTAACATTAGTTTTCTAATCGAACTCCCCCTTCTAGAACAGGAATTAAACTCATCTAAATAAAAAGTTAAGGAATCCTTTTAATTTTTTCAGTGTATGTAAAACCTCCATCATAGTGTTTGTGAGTTGAATAGAAAAAGTTTGCTTTTTGTGGAAGTAACTAATCAGAAAGGTGAAACGGCTGTATGTAGGGAGTACCTTAAAGTAAACAATAGCAATATAAAAATTTAGCTACTGAAATGTCTTTGATCATATTTGATAAGGCTTGTTGCGGCGTTTTCGAGAAAAAACTTTATTTTTATAGAACAAAAGTCTCGTTGTCAGAACGGGTTAGTTTACGAATCCATTCTTTTTATTTCTAAATCTATTTAAGTCTCGTTTAGTAAAAGCACTGGATTGCATTTTCCTAGTTGGTTAAAAACAAACAACGCTACAACACTGACTTTTGCCGGCATCTCACGCCTTTGAATTCTGCACTCAAAATACCCTTAATTTTTTACAGTCTAATAATATCGTTTTAAAAGAATCCAAGCTTGATTTTTCATTTCATGAGGAGTACGCGGGTCGAACTTTGGACATCCCTGGTCTAGACGGTGAAAGACGCCAAAGCTAACACCTACGTGAACAAAATGGAAGGGAAGGGGCACTAGTGTGTGTGTGTGTGTGTGTGTGTGTGTGTGTGTGTGTGTGTGTGTGGAGTGATCTAATTCCGACCAGTTTAACAAAACGGTGCGCAGATCCATGTGGAGAACTAACATCTACACGCCATCGACGCGAAGTGCGATGAAACTCCGAGTATAGTACCACTGTGACTGCGTTAACTGATATGACATTTCGCCGTGTGATCGTAATACCACCTCCACTCATGCGACCGCTGTCGTCTATATGTCTTTCGTCTGTCACAAAATGCTGTTCCGAACGAGTGCTGAGCCACGTGGCCCGATGAAGCACTCTATCAAAGGCGAAAGATTTCCAGGCTCATTTCAGCTCAGTACAACGACTACGATCAGCGCAATGAAGTGTGGTGGATCCAGTTGTCATCATTCGCGGCGCCACTACAAGGATAAGTAGCAACGAAGAGAAAATGAGGCAGAAT